TGGTGTGCTGGGAACTTGTGTGTGTGTGGGGGGAGGGGGGGGAGTAGTCATCCCCAGAGAAGGTAAGCGCTGGGGCTTCCCTGCTCTGCGGGAGGAGGGAGTCATCCCCGGAAGAGGCACCCGCTTAAAAATCCCTTACCATATGTTTTCTCACTGGAATGCCTCGTCTTGCAAAATTACAGGAACCGAAGCTTAAAAACACAATTAGGTAGTTTAAAATGAAGTATTAAAGAAATACCACATATTTTCAGATATGCATGCAATGGTTTTTGCCCCTTCTTTTCCATGTTCTGTGGGAGGGGGGATTCGGCCCTGGAGAAGATGCATGCTGGGACTTTCTTGCTCTGCGGGAGGAATGCTGGGTGGAGGCGGGTGCGTGGAACTCCCTGCCCCCTGCCCCAAGCAACACCCTGTCTCCTATCCCCACTGGCACCTTGTCTCCTGCTGCAGAACCCTGTCCCCTGTCCCCCACTGGCACCCTGCCTCCTGCTGCAGAACCCTGACCCCTGCCCTCCCAGCACCCTGTCCCCTCTCCACTGCCACAGAACCCTGTCCCTACTGGCACCATGTCCCCTGCCTCCTGCTGCAGAACCCTGTCCCCTGCCCTCCTGGCACCCTATTCCCTCTCCCCTGCACCCAGACATAGAACCCTGAACCTATTGCACCCTGTCCCCTGCCGCAGAACCCACTAGCACCCTTCCCCAGTATCATGTCCCCTGCTCCCACCAGCACAGTTGGGGCCACATTAGTGAGGCTTGGGGAGATTTGGAGGAGTTATTTTTTTGAATCTCACTTGTGTGGCCCCAACTGACTTTTCTGTGGGTCAGTGACCCCTGACTCAAAACAGGTTCCCTGCTCTTCTCATAAATAAAGACAATGCAGAAACATTTTGTGTTTGACATAGTATTTTATTTAAAAATGAAGTCTGGCCAACAAACCCCCAATTGGGGCCAAGCCCCCATCTGGCTGCAGCATCATAACACTACTGCACTCTCCACAGGCCCTAGATCTGAGCCTATCATACACTAGACCCCCGCTGCCCTGAGCGCCTTATGTACCCTGACTCAAATTCCTGCACCCTCACAGCCACAAACCTGTAGCTTGCTTAGTACTGCAACCCTCCATCTGACCCCAATACTCCCCAGCCTGGAGCCCCCTCCCTGAGCCAGCGTCCCCTTCTCCACCTCCTCCTACATCTAAATTCCCTCTCAAAGTTTGCACCTTTCACCCTTTCCCAACCCAAATCCCTCATTCCCACCCAAGAGCCCACACCTCCTGTCTCAACCCAGAGAGGGTAAGGCTAGACTACAGGACTTTTTCTTTTGCATCCAGGGATGCATTTCTTCTTCTGCTTTTTTTGTGGACGAGCAAACATGCTCTTTTGATAACTTCTGCATTCCTTGTTCTACGAGGGTTTCCTTATGGAAGAGGTGGATGAGGCTTTTTTTAAACAACTAACAAAATCATCCAAGCCCAAGATTTGCTGGTGATGGGGGACTTCAACTATCCAGAATTATGTTGGGAAAATAACACAGCGGGGCACAGACTATCCAATAAGTTCTTGGACTGCATTGGTGACAACTTTTTATTTAAGAAGGTTGAAAAAGCTACCGGAGGGAAGCTGTTCTAGATTTGATTTTAACAGAGAGAGAGAACTGGTTGAGAATTTGAAAGTGGAAGGCAGCTTGGGTGAAAGTGATCATGAAATCCTAGAGTTCACAATTCTAAGAAAGGGTAGAAGGGAGAACAGCAAAATAGAGACAATGAATTTCAGGAAGGTGGATTTTGGTAAGCTCAGAGAGCTGATAGGTTAGGTCCCATGGGAATCAAGACTGAGGAAAAAAACAACTGAGGAGAGTTCGCAGTTCTTCAAAGGGACATTGTTAAGGGCCCAAAAGCAAGCTATTCCACTGCACAGGAAAGATAAAAAGTATGGCAAAAGACCGCCTTGGCTTAACCATTAGATCTTGCATGATCTAAAAATAAAAAGAAGTCCTATAAAAATAAAACTAGGACAAATTACAAAGGATGAATATAGGCAAACAACACAGGAATGCAGGGGCAAGATTAGAAAGGCAAAGGTACAAAATGAGCTCAAACTAGCTATAGGAATAAAGGGAAACAAAAGAAGACTTTTTATAAATACATTAGAAGCAAGAGGAAGACCAAGGACAGGGTAGGCCCACTGCTCAGTGAGGAGGGAGAAACACTAACAGGAAACTTGGAAATGGCAGAGATGCTTAATGACTTCTTTGCTTTAGTCTTCACCAAGAAGTCTGATGAAGGAATGCCTAACATAGTGAATGCTAGTGGGAAGGGAGTAGGTTTAGAAGATAAAATAAAAGAACAAGTTAAAAATCACCTAGAAAAGTTAGATGCCTGCAAGTCAACAGGGCCTGATGAAATGCATCCTAGAATACTCAAGGAGCTGATAGAGGAGGTATCTGAGCCTCTAGCTATCATCTTTGGAAAATCATGGGAGCAAGGGGTTTAGGGTAGGCATTAGGAAAAACTTCCTGTCACGATGGTTCACCACTAGAACAAAATGCCTACGTAGGCTGTGGAATCTCTTATCAGTGGAGGTTTTTATGAAGAAACCCATCAGTAATAGTAAAGAACAAATCATGCCAAACCAATCTGATAGCTTTGTTTGATAGGCTAACAGGTCTTGTGGATAAGGGAGAAGTGATGAACGTTGGTATACCTAAACTTAATAAGGCATTTGATATGGTCTCACATGATATTCTTATCAATAAACTAGGCAAATACAACTTAGATGGGGCTACTATAAGGTGGGTGCATAACTGTACTCAGAGAGTAGTTATTAATGGTTCTCAATACTGCTGGAAAGGTATAACAAGTGGGGTTCCGCAGGGGTCTGTTTTGGGACCGGCTTTCTTCAATATCTTCATCAACAGTTTAGATATTGGCATAGAAAGAACGCTTATTAAGTTTGCAGATGATACCAAGCTGGGAGGGGTTGCAACTGCTTTGGAGGTTAGGGTCATAATTCAAAATGATCTGGACAAATTGGAGAAATGGTCTGAGGTAAACTAGATGAAGTTTAATAAAGACATGCAAAGTGCTCCACTTAGGAAGGAACAATCAGTTTCACACATACAGAATGGGAAGCAACTCTCTAGGAAGGAGTACGGGAGAAAGGGATCTAGGGGTTATAGTGAACCACAAGCTAAATATGAGTCAACAGTGTGATGCTGTTGCAAAAAAAGCAAACATGATTCTGGGATGCATTAACAGGAGTGTTGTGAGCAAGACACGAGAAGTCTACTCTGAGCTGGTTAGGCCTCAATTGGAGTATTGTGTCCACTTCTGGGCACCGCATTTCAAAAAGACGTGGAGAAATTGGAGAGGGTCAGAGAAGAGTAACAAGAATGATTAAAGGTCTAGAGAACATGACCTATGAAGGAAGGCTAAAAGAATTGGGTTTGTTTAGTTTAGAAATGAGAAGACTGAGGGGGGACATGATAGCCGTTTTCAGGTATCTAAAAGGGTGTCATAAGGAGGAGGGAGAAAACTTGTTCATCTTGGCCTCTGAGGATAGAACACGAAGCAATGGGCTTAAACTGCAGCAAGGGAGGTTTAGGTTGGACATTAGGAAAAAGTTCCTAATTGTCAGGGTAGTCAAACACTGGAATAACTTGCTGAGGGAGGTTGTAGAATCCCCATCTTTAGAGATATTTAGATATTTAGAGTAGGTTAGAGAAATGTCTATCAGGGATGGTCTAGACAGTATTTGGTCCTGCCATGGGGGCAGGGGACTGGACTCTGTATAATAAATGGAAATGACTTGGTAGAACAATGTCAAGATTTGAGGCCACTTTGTCTTCTGAGGCCTGGGCCAAATGGCCCTCCTGCCCTACCCCTCCCATCCCAATAGTTCCTGATCCTGACCCCAAAATATATTATAGCTAAGTTGCTAATTGCTAATTGCTACTTCTCCACAGGATATGATTTCATGTTTCAACAGAAGGGTCTAAAGTGCTCAGGGAAGGAATTTTCTTCCCTATTCCTAAATACACATGAAAAAGTATCATGGTTCACAAGAAGGACCATGCTAAGCTTCTGACTTCCCTAATTTATTACTTTTGAACACGTTATTCCACACAGTGAAATCTCTCTGATGCTTCTGAGATTATTTCAAAACAATGTTTTAGGTACTTAGGAATGGGGCTGAATCTTGTTGAATCACTTTCCCTTTACATCTTGCAGTTTTTATACATTGAATGAACATTTACTATAATATGTTACACAACACGTGTTATTGGAAAGGTCATAAAATGCTTCACAAATATTGACAAGGAAGTTGCTCTGCACCAGGACTTTATGTATGTAGAGCAGTTTGCAGGATAAGAACTTTAATCAAATATACAAAATGCCCACCATGATCATGGTCCACCAGTGAAATGTCTTACAGCTTTAATTACTGCCAAGGAAATAGTGTCTTGGCTTGCATAACTATTTTAACAGCTCAATACTGAGACACAGTTTAGAAAAGAAAGGATTTCTGTGTATTGTGTCCAAGGAGAAAATGGTAATTTTTGGCTGGTATTAAAACACTTTGTTGATATTACTTGTATTATGAATACATAGCACACTGCAAACTGAACATTAGG